TGGTATATTGTAGATGTGAGGGCTTTAACCAGTGTCCAGTTGATTGTGAGCATGGTTTGGTTACAGACCATGTTCATGCCTGTGATTTCATCAGCCTCAAAGCCTTGAGGGAAGGTTTTCATTGTCCCCAGTTCATAGATGGGGAAACTGAGGCCTGAGCAGTTAAGTGGTTGTCTGAGGACATGCAGCAACAAGAGGAGAGGCCCATCTACAGTCTTTGCAGCCCAGCTGCTGGGGACGCATTTTGCTCCTCTCCCAGGCCTCCTCAGCCCCCTCTATGGGGTTGCCTGCTTTCTGCACCCATGGCCTGGGCCCCCAAAGGACAGCACTGAGATTTGAGGGATCTTGGGAGCCTGTGTGGCAAAGGCAGGCTGCTCTGGGCTGTTCTGGGTCTTTGGGTGGACCCTAAGGAAAGTGATGGAGCCCTTCACTGCCCTCCATGAAGTTGGGCCCCCAACCACCTGAGTCCCCCTCCTCATTGAGGGCTCTGCTGTCTACAAGTCAAGGCCGGTAAGAGCTGGGGCTCTGGAGCCAGACAGCCCCCAGCCCCCATTCATACACTCACTGTGCTGGGCACCTACTTCCTTCCATCTCCAGCTCCCAGCTTTTCCATCTGGAGGAGGATAACCCCAGTGTCTGTCTCTGCAGAGTGTGTGGAGTGGATGGGAGGGCTCGTGGGGGACCCTAGTAGCTGCTGGTGGTATCTCTTTCTGCACGCTGGCCCTTTCGGGTTTGGGAATGACCACTTCAGAGTCCCTCAGCCTAGCCCCATCCCACAAAGGCCCGCCCAGCCTCATCTTAGCTAATCCTCCTTCCTCATGGCCACCCCTAACCAGGCAGGGCAGCGGCCTGGAGGAGCTGTACATAGATTTTCACCACCTGCTAGTCCCTCTCAGTTCAGCTCTGAGAAGTCACCATGTTTACTGTGTTTTTATCGGTTAAAGAAAAACCTGACAAAATCCCAAGAAGAATACAGCCCTTAGGTGGCCTGGATTCCTCCTTCTCAGGCCAGCTGCCCCATGGCCGGCTCAGTTTCCCTCTCACAGCCCAATGTGCAGAAACCTGTCTAAATGCCCCCAAACTTCGGTCTTTGGCCTGGCAATCGCCTATGTGCATCCCACTCCCTCTGCAATTTGGGCCGTTTAGCAGTGATTTGCAGTGAACGTCAGAATCACTAGAGGCAAGTGTGGAAATGCAGATTCTTGGGCCCCACAACCACAGATTGTGTTGGCTTCAGCACATGTCCTGGGAGGCTGGGTGTGAGGGCTTTAAGCAGTGTCCAGTGATTGTAAAGGGGGTTGAGAGGTGCTTGCAGCCATCCCATGGCCTGACCACCAGAGGGTGTGGCAGGCCAGGCTAAGTGGTCCCTCGGTAAGGTCATTCTCCCAGGCAAGCTGCTATCATTAGGACTTGCATAGTGCCTAAGGCACTTGACTGCTAACCGGAAGGCTGGTGGTTCAAGCCCACCAGCCACTCCTCAGAAGGAAGTCTAGGCAATCTACGTCCGCAGAGATACAGCCTCAGAAACCCAAGGAGGGGTCAC